AAAATCTTTGATTTATTAAATAAAGAATGCATTGAATAGATTTGAGTTTCAATGATTGGATTCCAATATAAGAACATAGGATTTCACGGCCGGAGAGAACAAAATCGAAACTATAACCTTCGTCCTCGTAGTCAACGCATAGGTATACCAGTGATGATATCTGCTGCAGTAGCAGACGAAACGTTTGATATTTCAGGTTTCATTAAATCACAGCCTACCAGCTCAGATTTCGTTTTTTCATCAGAGTCCATATTTTTTTATTAGTTAGTGGGCTATGCTTGAAGACTCGCAGTAAACAAATCTAAAGAAATGAACTTTAAATGTTCAAGCCCGTCTCGGATATACCTACCCAGTGGGTTGAATGGACTGACGCCTATCAGAAAACAACTACTCCCCTGGCTAATACCACGAAGGGCGTTGGATTATATCCGACAGGCATCAGTGCAGGAATCTTCACAGAAAATTTCCTGCATATGCAATTGGCAATACAACTGAAAGAGTCGACGTTCAATTTTGGAACGGGCAAACTTGCAGGCCGGTTTCGGGTTCATTAGCCACTCATCAGTGCAAGATAGTGACCATCATCAACCTAAAGTCAATGATATTCTTTAATTGAAAATCGAAATCCTTTCAGAGTATTTCATTCCTTTTCCTAACTTGGAGCGAACAACAAAATGTCACTCCATCTAGTGGACGAGGTACTAACCAACTGCATATCCGAAATTTGCCCGATTCCTCTGAATAAGGAAGAAAAACTTTCTTATTAGTCAGTGGGCTATGCTTGACGACTGGCAGTAAACAAATCTAAAGAAATGAACTTTAAACGTTCAAGCCAGTCTCGAATATACCTACACAGTAGGTTGAATGGACTGACGCCTATCAGAAAACAACTACTCCCCTGGCTAATACCACGAAGGGCGTTGGATTATATCCGACAGGCGTCAGTGCAGGAATCTTCACAGAAAATTTCCTGCATATGCAATTGGCAATACAACTGAAAGAGTCGACCTTCAATTTTGGAACGGGCAAACTTGCAGGCCGGTTTCGGGCTCATTAGCCACTCGTCAGTGCAAGATAGTGGCCATCATCGACCTAAAGTCAATGATATTCTATAATTGAAAATCGAAATCCTTTCAGAGTATTTCATTCCTTTTCCTAACTTGGAGCGAACAACAAAATGTCACTCCATCTAGTGGACGAGGTACTAACCAACTGCATATCCGAAATTTGCCCGATTCCTCTGAATAAGGAAGAAAAACTTTCTTATTAGTCAGTGGGCTATGCTTGACGACTGGCAGTAAACAAATCTAAAGAAATGAACTTTGAACGTTCAAGCCTACACAGTAGGTATACCTTCTGTCTAGGTATATTCGAGACTGGCTTGAACATTTAGAGTTCATTTCTATAGATTTGTTTCAAGCATAGCCGACTGACTAATAAAAAAGTTTTTTTTTCCTTATTCAGAGAAATCGGTCAAATTTTGGATATGCAATTGGTTAGTACCTCGTCCACTAGATGGGGTGACATTTTGTTGTTCGCTCCAACTTAGGAAAAGGAATGAAATACTCTGAAAGGATTCCGATTTTCAATTATGGAATATCATTGACTTTAGGTCGTTGATGGATATTATCTTGCATTTATGAGTGACTAATGGGCCCGAAACCGGTCTGCAAGTGTGCCCGTTCCAGAATTGAAGGTCGACACTTTGTTGTATTGCCAATTGCATATGCAGCAAATTTTCTGTGGAGATTTCTGCACTGACGCCTGTCGGATATAATTCAACGCCCTTCGTGGTATTAGCCAGGGGAGTAGTTGTTTTCTGAAAAGCGTCAGTCCATTCAACCTACTGTGTAGGTATATTCGAGACTGGCTTGAACGTTAAAATTTCATTTTTTTAGATTTAGATTCCATATTGCCAAAAATGGTATAGTTAAAAGCTAACAATGGGTTGAAAAACAAATGTTTTATATCTTCAGGAAACATAGTAAACGTGCGTGTGAAATTCAGTTTCAAGATTCAACCTGAACAAACTGATCAATATACTTACAAACTAATTAAATTGATTGGTAAATTGAAGCTTTCGATGAAAAATTGCTACTTCCTTTTCAAGGACAAAAACACAAGCGCTACAGGAAAATCTTTAAGATGCTCTAAGAGCGCCTTAATTCTCCAACCTTTCTTCGATGTTCCAGACTATCAAAGTTGCAAGTGATGTTCGTATCTCTAATCAGACAGATGGGTCTAATCAGATAGATGACTCTTTTCTGAATGGCTTCCAGCAGCTTCAGGGTATGCCTAGGGGCGGAGCTCCATACATGTGAACAATTCTCCAAAGAAGGTTTGATTTAAGCTTCATAAAGTATCAAAATTTGCTGAAGTGTGTACAGTTTTTTGGTTCGGAAGTGTGTTTCAAGCTTTTGAGAAGCATTCTTTGCAATTTCAGCTACATGACTGTGTCAAGATATATCGGTGTCCATTTCAATCCTAAACAAACTCATCGAAGCGGAATTGTCTGTCCTGACATTATTATATCCGGTTCGGACACATTTATCTTTTTGGAGAAAACCGACGTCTGGATTTACCTGGTTACTTCGACTCCAATTCGAAATCACCTCTAGATCATTATTAAAATATGCAACCTCCAGCTACCGGTGCATCTGCAGCCGATGTCCTGCATTCCAAATGAAGTGACGAAACAAGTGTGCTGTCGTCAACAAAGCAATACTTACTTATATTGAAATCTTGGTTTTTTCCAGTAAGTTTTTTATATACAATAAAAACAGGATTGGAGACAATATGGATCCTTCCGAAACACCAGCGTTGATAGTGATAGTATTCGAGAAATATCCATCGACGGCCACTTACAGGGAATGTTCTTTCAGAAAGATGGAGAAAGATGGAGAAAAAACACAAAAATGATCTTTCAAGCCATAGGATCAAAGTTGGGCCAGCAAACAATCATGCCACACACGGTAGAAGGTCATAGAAAATCAAGCGCAACAACTCTTGACCTTCCCTGTTTCTCGATTGCGTTATTCCAAATATGAGTGACATACGATAGAAGGTTGCCTGTTGATCTTTGTTTCCGGAAACTATATTGATGATCGTTCAGGATATCAAAGACTTCCAAATATTCAAGGATATGGTGGTTTACGGCTTTCTCTATGATTTTTGATATCAAGGATTTATAGTCATAGCATAGCGTAGTCTTGCACTGACTAAGAATAACTTATCAGGAGGAACTAAAGTTTTTTTATTGAAAAAAAAAATCGTGTACGTCCATGTTGAATATTATAAAAAAAACATAAAAAAAATATGTGGCAAGAAGCTGTGTAGATAGAAAAATTTTACAAATGAAAAATCACCAAGTCTGACGAAGAGTAGGTAATAATCACCTTCGGAAAATTATAGGGGTAAGGTGGTTGGGTTGAAGTTCACTGCTCACACAATTTTCGAAACTAGAGAAATCTGAATTGAAATAGCAATAAAATAATGAAAACCCATCATCCCTTACCTGTAAAACCTTTAAATCTGTTAAGTCCTCCTGAAGCTCTTATATTTGATCATCTAAGCATCTGTTATGGAATTATCTGAGTTTTGAAAATTGTAGAAAAGAACTCAAACTGAGTTTCATGACTAGATCGAGGAAAAATAGTTGTTTCGAGAGTATTATTCGTTTTAATGGCATGTGTCTTTGTAGCTACATATCTCGAAAAATATTTATTTTACTGATTGATACATACTATATGATGTCGTTAAATAAGCGCCTTATGGCCGATTTTTCTCTACGCTTCAAAATTTGAGTAAGGTAAGCTCTCCAATGAATTTCTTGTTTTTATGAAACAGATTTGAGTGAGATGAAGTTAGTAATAAAATAAATAGAAAACAAAAATTCTGCTGGTGTTGACAACTTATCAGCAAAGTTGTTTTTACAATTGCCTTCAAGGTTTAGTAATAGCTATAAACTCGTTGTTTACTACTGGTGTCTTTTCTTCTAGTTTGAAATCAACAAAATTGATACCGCTTCACAAAGGAGATGCCATTGATGATCCCAGCAATTTCAGACCAATCTCAGTTTTATCAACGTTTTCAAAAATCATTGAAAAATTTGTTGAAAGTAGGATAGTGGGTTTCTTGGAAAAACATAAATAAAAACACATGAGAATAAAAATAACTGCGATCCTATGTCCTCTCTAATTTCATGATGTGATATTGGTTGGGTTATCAAATTTGGTCAAAATGAAACATATGTGGTAAATCACCGTTCCGTGCAAATTTTAAAGTACATTTCGCAAATTATCCGATTATGCATGTTCCAATGATATAGCACTTTGACTAGTAAACACGTTTAGGTGTTAATGATCGAATTAGAAACTATATAAATTTGAAAAATTTTCAAATCAGAATCAGTAGTAGTTTGCGCCAGCAATCAAACTACAGTTTGTTTTCCAAAGCAAAATGTTCAAAGAATTTTCACTATTTTTGGTGGGGTTGCAAATTTGGTGAGTTTTTAGTTGTTTCATTCAAAACAAAAGTATGAGACATGATGTTCGTAGAAAATTAGTACAAACCTTTCATTCTATGGAATTTGAATAAACTGGCAGTTTCATTTAAGGGTTGATTGATAATTTCAAAAATATATTTATATTAGAAAAATTCTGGCATAAATAAATCTAATTTCATATGGTTTCCAAACGATATCAAGTAATTAACAAAGATATATGCTACTCTTTCCTCTCTAGTTGTTATCTTAAGAATCATTTAAAGTTCCAAGTGAGTTCACATTCACATAATCTTGTGAATGTCCAAAATTTGGTGACAAAGTGTTTTATTCATCTCCTGAAGTACTACTGAAATTCTGCTTCTCGGTTTATTTTACGCCAGAGGTGCTAGTTTCACTTTTAAATTGGAATGATGCAAATTTCATATCGAGAAAAGTGTATTTTGTTGATGAATTGTCTCATAAGAATTAAGAGTAACAATCAAAATCACTGATTTTTGTGTCCATCTCAGCTATGCAGCAAATCGCAATGTTCAGTTTTCGAAAGAATTCAGTTTTGGTGTAGCTACATCGGCCTATCAAACAGAAGGTGAGTTGGGTAACTATTAAATATGTGTTGAACTAATTCAGATCTTTAGGTGCTTGGAATAAGGACGGAAAAGGTGAAAATATATGGGATCGCTTATTACATACGAAACCTGGCTTTGCCAATGGTACCAACGGTGATGTAGCAAGCAAAGGGTATTACAAAATGATGGAAGATGTGGACTTGCTGAACTTCCTGAACGTAGGACATTACAGGCTATCTATTTCATGGTCCAGAATACTTCCAAATGGTGAGTCTATATTTCAGAATTACTATTTTTCCGGTCAAAATACAAGAATTCAATTCTTTCATAATGTCATTATGGTATAATTCAATTCAATTTGAATTTTCATGAATATTTTGTATAATGTTTGGATTCTGAAAAGAGAAGTGGTAGATATTCGATTTTCGTACGAAAATAATAGTCATATATATGTTTTTCAGGAAAACCTTCTTACGTGAACCAATTAGGAGTAGAATACTACCGAAGATTGTTCCGAGTACTGAAACAAAATCAAATCGAACCATTCGTCACCCTCTATCACTGGGACCTTCCTCAACCTCTTCAAGATATGGGTGGTTTCCTCAACAAATCAATGGTCAATTGGTTCAGAGACTATGCAAAAGTTGCCTTCAAATTATTTGGGGATGACGTAAAATATTGGTCAACTTTTAACGACCCCTACAGCATTTGCGCCAACGGGTATGGAGGAAGCTCATTAGCCCCTGCATTGAACAAATCTGGAGAAGCAGATTACATTTGTGGACACAACCTGCTACTTGCTCACGCTGCGGCATATCATTTATACGACAAAGAATTTAGGAAAATACAGGACGGTCAGTATTAGCAGCATATTATTTGTTCATTTATCAAACTGTGGTTTGGAATATATGATATTGGATAAGGTTCACCTATATTCTACAATAACACTTTATTTTACAGGAAGAATTTCCATAAACATCAATTCCAATTGGGTAGAACCAATAAGTACCAGTGAAGAAGATAAAATGGCTGCAGAGGTACAAAAACAATTTATGGTGAGTACAATGTAAACATATTCACCGACATTCAGAAGAGATTCAATTTTCCTGGAAAGTTGTACGTTACACCCACTCATGATTTTCCATTCCAGGGTATCTTTGATTACGTTTTTCAAGTTGTATATACCAGTTTCTGGTAGATCACTCAACTGTCATACGTCTATCTCTTTTTTTATTTCAGATGGGCTGGTTTGCCAATCCTATATATAATGGAGACTATCCAGAAGTTATGAAAGAGCGTATAAGGGAGCGTAGTTTGTTGCAAGGAAAACATAATTGTAGACTTCCCTCATTCAGCAGAGAAGAAAGGGAGATGATCAGAGGAACCCACGACTACTTCTCTCTTGGCACTCAGACTATGTTACTAGCCAAGTCAGTGAATTCTCCATTACGTCCAGTGAATCTTCAACAAGACGTCGGTGCCAAAGTGATAGAAAAGCAGGGGGTTTGTATTATTTTCTGAAATAGATGTTTACCATATATATTGATACAAAATATTGAGAACCCGTATTTGACTCGAATTACAAAATATTTCTCTAACAATATGTCAGGCAGTTTTACCTTTAGCTTCATTTGAAGGGATACTTTAGCTTCATTCTCCAAGATTTTATTGGTCTCTCCAAAGTTTTATCTTTTTCCAGGATGTTTCTTGGGGAATGAGGAAACTACTTGTATGGATAAAGAAAAATTATAACAATCCCTCAATATTCATAACCGAAAATGGTTTAGGGACGAAATCCGCAACTCCGGAAGATCCAGAACGCATTGCTTACATACAGGTAATATATCAAAGTTCGTTGTCTTGAAATCAAATATCTAACGTCATTACCGTTACTGAATTACAGGGTATGCTAGTCAACGTATATGATGCCATGACTATCGATAACGTAAGAGTTTACGGCTACACCTACAATAGTTTCATGGACGGGTTCAACTGGAGAGACGGATACTCGTGAGTAACTTTCGAAGGTTTTGTTATTTTTATTATCGAGAATACAGCCACAAGATCAGTTCAATTCATATAACTTTTCAATGATTGGGTAAGTTAAGTAACTTCTGTTTTATTCCTCTCTTTCATTGTTTTCCACGAAACTTTTTACGGAATAATGATTTGGATACAGAAAAATCTAGGTATTGTAACTAATTATTCCTATTTATAACTTGTCAGGAAGAAGTTTGGTCTCTTTGCTGTCGACTTCAACGATCCCGATAGAACAAGAACCGCAAGAAGGTCTGCATACTTTTACAAACGTCTCTGCTCTACTGGAAATACTTCGAATGTATATTATAGTGGAAGCTGGCGTCGTGATTACCAATATTGAAAATCTTTGATTTATTAAATAAAGAATGCATTGAATAGGTTTGAGTTTCAATGATTGGATTCCAATATAAGAACATAGGATTTCACGGCCGGACAGAACAAAATCGAAACTATAACCTTCGTTCTCGTAGTCAACGCATAGGTATACCAGTGATGATATCTGCTGCAATAGCAGACGAAACGTTTGATATTTCAGGTTTCATTAAATCACGGCCTACCAGCTCAGATTTCGTTTTTTCACCAGAGTCCATATTTTTTTATTAGTTAGTGGGCTATGCTTGAAGAGTGGCAGTAAACAAATCTAAAGAAATTAACTTTAAATGTTCAAGCCCGTCTCGGATATACCTACCCAGTGGGTTGAATGGACTGACGCCTATCAGAAAACAACTACTTCCCTGGCTAATACCACGAAGGGCGTTGGATTATATCCGACAGACATCAGTGCAGGAATCTTCACAGAGAATTTCCTGCATATGCAATTGGCAATATAACTGAAAGACTCGACGTTCAATTTTGGAACGGGCACACTTGCAGGTCGGTTTCGGGTTCATTAGCCACCAATCAGTGCAAGATAGTGACCATCATCAACCTAAAGTCAATGATATTCCATAATTGAAAATCGAAATCCTTTCAGAGTATTTCATTCATTTTCCTAAGTTGGAGCGAACAACAAAATGTCACTCCATCTAGTGGACGAGGTATTAACCAACTGCATATCCGAAATTTGTCCGATTTCTCTGAATAAGGAAGAAACACTTTCTTATTAGTCAGTGGGCTATGCTTGACGACTGGCAGTAAACAAATCTAAAGAAATGAACTTTGAACGTTCAAGCCTACACAGTAGGTATACCTTCTGTCTAGGTATATTCGAGACTGGCTTGAACATTTAGAGTTCATTTCTATAGATTTGTTTCAAGCATAGCCGACTGACTAATAAAAAAGTTTTTTTTTGGTTAGCGAAACGGGCGTCGAAACAAGTGCTATATTTGTAATTATTTTACACCAGAGATTCCAATTCTACCTATTAATTTAATATTTTTTAATGTTAAAACACTGGCAAAAACGGCGAATCATCTGAGGATGTCCCATCACTCTCATCAGAACTGTTAAAATGAAGAACTTATATGACAACGCTCATCTACTGAAATGCATGAAAGACCGTAGTTGTCTTTAGACACTTTGTGTTTCCGTGTTCTGCGATTCCGATTCTGTGGTTCCGCTATATTGTTGTCTTTGATGCTATGTTTATCTTATTGCTTATGGTAGCAAATTATTGCAGGTAGAAAATCAATTGATTTCAATAAATTGATGAATGTAGCCGTTACTACGTGGTAGGAAATAATGAAAAGAGAAATGAAAATTTCTATGTAATTACCACTTTTATAAAAATGGTAAAAAACAGAAATTTTCATTTCTCTTTTCATTGTGATATGCTACCACTTAGTAACGGCTACATCGATCAATTTACTAAAAGAGTTATTATCTTTTTTCTTTTTCGCCTCGTATCTTCGAAATAAAGCGCCCTATCAAAAATCATCAGAAGACAAAATATCCTTA